CTCTGTGCACAGGGGAAGCCTGAATGTAGCTCTCCTCTCAAAAGTGGGCAGAAAATGTCCTGTGAGACGCCAAGTAGGAGGCAGATCCACGAGGGCCTAGAGGAACCCCAAATCCTGAACCCCACAAAAGTTTCTACAATGATCCAGGAGGCATATGACAAGGACACAAACAGGACATAGACCAAGCACCTCCTGGGAACCCGTCCTCAGCAGAGACCTTTCCCTGTGACCTGTGGCCAGGTGCCATCACCCCAGACCTCTGGGCAAAAACAGTCCTCTTTTTCAGGTGCTTCTGAAGAGACCAACTGTAAGCACTCAGGACCCAGGCTGCATGAGCGTGTGTGTGGCTGCTGCTCCCAAGTAACAGGATGAGAGCCCGGAAAACGCCTACCTACCACCTGAAACCCGCCATCTGCCGTGAGAAAGTGCACACCTCACACTTCCTCACCTCTTCCCCACTCTCCTCCTCCATATCACAACAATCACAGCTCCAGTGACCACAGCAACAAGGAGAATCGAGGCAGTAATGGCACCTTTGTTAGGGATGGTAGGGTGAGGAGGCGGCTCTGGGAAGAGAAGGGAAAAGAAGGTGAGGAGCCCTGACCGCCAGCTCTGAGCTCTGACCTGCTGAGGGTCTCCACAATGGCTCCTACTTTCTTAAAGAAGTGGCCCTGTACCCCATCCTCCCTTACCCCAGGTCAGGGTGTGGGGCTCAGGCAGCCCCTCATGCTGCACACGGCACGTGTAATGCTGCTCCTCTCCTGAAGGCACCGCCACAGCCGCCCACTTCTGGAAGGTTCCGTCCCCTGCAGGCCTGGTCTCCACCAGCTCCATGTCCTGGGTCAGGTCCTGCCCACCCCGCTGCCAGGTCAGGGAGATCTCGGCGGGGTAGAAGCCCAGGGCCCAGCACCTCAGGGTCACCTCTTCCTTGGAGACGGGGTGGTGGGTCACGTGTGTCGCTGGTGATGCTGAGGGAAGAATCCAGAAATCGGGTCATTTTCAGCACCTCCCATAGGTCACTGAAGCAGGATTCGCGAGACCATCCAGAGCAGGGACAGGACAAGGGGGTGCAGAGGGAACACACGTCTGGACACCAGCCTGGACCGGGGCTTCGGGCATCACCTCCTATTCCTTGGAAAGGTCTAGAATCAGGCTGAGAGCTCCCAGGGGAAGAGGATACAGGTCTCTGTGAGGGGTTTCAGGTTCTGACCCAACTCACAGGACACGCACAGACGCTGGAGTCAGAACTCCAGAGAGTTTGGGCGCGGGGCCGAGAACAAGGACTGAAGGAAGAAAGCTGCTCGGTGGAGCCCAAGGCTGCTGCCCAGGCCACGGCCAACTGCTGCTGGGTTATTTCAGAGAG